GCGGTGGAAGTTTCTGGACTAAAATATTTTTACGTTGCTTGTAAATCTTATGTGGCAAATTATTTTTGAACATACTTAACGCTCATAATGATAGTCCATACTATTTTGTAATCTCAGGAAGTGCTATTGTGCTGGTTATTTACCTGTTACCTTTCAAGCTATTAGTCCCCCTTACTAATATCTTCTGTCTTCAAACTACTTTGCTGTTAGTCTTTCGGAGTTGTGTCCATGCAAAACACATTGGTGGGCAATTGAAAGACGAGGGAGAAGAAGGGACCTTACTTCTTCCTCTTTCTACATCTCTCAGCATTTTTCATATGTGTTCATATATGTGTTTTGCACCTCAAACATCAGCTCTCTGACCCTCAGTATGAGCCAGCTCTGTCCCTCAGCTGTCTGATTCCAGGACATGAGTCTAAGAGACTTTTCTCCAAGCTCCTAATTTTTGGTAACCCCACTTCTTCCCTTTAGTTGTTAATGCTGTGGATGGTACCTGCTTGCTGCTTCCGTGTTCTGTCTCACATGCAGCTTCTCAATAACAGTGGAACCAAGTCCCTGTATTCCAGTCATTAAAAGGCAAACTGGACCTGGTTTTCTCCACTACCAATATAGTACTTTGGTCGGAAATAATCTTTTTAAATCTGCAACCTATTAATTATTTGGTTTCTCATTGGGATATCTTTATAAATAATAGATATTTATATTATATGCAGCAGGTTTTTTTCAGTACAAAAAGATGTTTGGATTTTTCATTATTGACACAAAGTAAATGTGGTATATCTTATCATATATTCACACTTAGGTAGATCTCACTAAGCAACTGATTACGATATTTTAAACATTTCTGCCATATGCCCATCAGTGCTGACATCCTATATGGAAGCTAATCTTGACAGCTTCCTGTGTTTTGATGGCTGTTCTTACTTGTCTCTCCCGGTTGGAGTGTCCTTTCTCTGGTACTTCTTGACCCTTCTCAAAATCAAAGGAAGTTAGCCTGAGGCTTGAACATGAGGCTTCACTTTTGATACTAAGTTTTTAAGAACTACAAAGACATTTTGTTAACCTTCCTGACGAAATGTTCACTTTTCCTTTAATTGCATGTATTATAAAATTTATCATAATTTTTATAAATTTGGAGTACATATGATAGAAACAAGGACCTAGATGTCCACATATTTTAATCTCAGAAATCACTTAATACGGTATTTCATGTATTAACTGAATTTTATTGAATAATACAAATATAATAACTATATATTTCAAAAAAACACTATAGAAACCAATATCATCAATATTTTTGGAAGAGATATTGTTGGCAATAAAAATATTGTTACTAGAAGGAAAAAAAAAGCAAAGATAAATTGACCAAACAGACTTAAACGATAAAACTGAGAGGTAGTAAAAGGATAATTTTACATTGTGTTGCTCCTGCCTGAAGTAAGATTTTCTAATAAATTAGAAGTATCCATAGAATAAGAAAATTAGTCATTTTTACATAACATTAATCAGTTCCATATTTCCTATCGAAAGCATGCTATTATAGAATGGATGTTTGTGCCCCCTCCAAAAAAAAATCATATGTTGAAATCCTTACCCCTAGTGTCATGGTATTAAGAGATGGGCCTTTGGGAAGTGATTGGGTGATGAGAATGGGGTTTTCATGAATGATATCAGTGCCCTTATAAAAGAAACCCCAAAGATTTCTCTTGTTTGTTTCCCACCACGTGAGGATACAGTGAAAATGGACATGTGGGAAGTGAATTTCTTCCATTAAGAGAAACCCTTCAGCAAGCATCACAAAGTGAAGATAATTTAGTAGAGAAAAATCATATCTCTTGCATTTATACACAAGGTGGCGAACAGTGAAATAAATAGCTAGTTTTAGAAATGGAAAGTTTATGAAGGCCCTCTGCTTTAAAATCTCAGTGGAGATAGGAGATTGAAAAACACTGAAAGTAATCTATTAACTTTAATACAAGACTAACGGGGAAGAATGGATGATATAGAAGAGAATCAATAGAAAATGTATGGGACATCTGGTTGGCTCCGTCGTTTAAAGGTCTGTCTCTTGATTTTGGCTCAGGTCATTATCTCATGGTTTCTGAGGTGGAGCCCCCTGTGGATACCCAGGTTGGGCTATATGCTGACGGTGCAGAGCCTGCTTGGGATTCTCTCTCTATCCCTCCCTCCTTTGCATTCTCTCTCTCTCTCTCTCAAAATAAATAAACACAAACAAACAAACAACGAAGAAGAAGAGTTCCAAACTATGATTAACTTATGGAACAGTTATAAATTGTCATTTTATACAATTAAAACACTTTTATATACAACACTTAAAACAATGCTTTTTAACTCTTGATAATATAACAATTACATTATTGTCATATCTGACTTTGTAATCTATTTGTATTAAACTGTTTCTTTAATTCCACCTACTGTATTTCATAATATGTTATAAACCCCAAAGAAAAATATTTAACAAAGTGAAAAAAATTTTAAATAGACTTTTAAAAACAGACATACTTAAACAAGCAGTTCAAAGAACAATTTGTTAGAAAGTTCTTAGCTAAACTATGTACACAGCAATATTTACAGCGTAGTCTTTGAAGAAGAGGATTATACATCATAGAGCATTACATTTTGGTGTAGAGACACACAACTTTATCCTGGATATGTCATCCCGGAAACAAACAGGTTTTTGAGCCTGAATATCTTCAAAACAGACATCTTTAAAAGTGACAATTCATACTTGAGAATTTAAGATTCATGTTCAAAAAAATACTGCATCCTGGTACATAGTATATGCTGAAATTGAAGTGTGGCATTGTGTACAAAAATCACATTAAGGAATGTAAACTGAAAATAGTACTGGGGAGAAACAGTACCCATATTAGTTTCTGAGTTTGAACTTACTTTTATACAAGGTTAATACTGCTTTAGAAAAGAGAATTATGATTTTTATCACTCTAAGCCACTGCTGTTTAGAGTCAAAGTTTACTTTGGATATATCCTCTTCAACTTTTGTACTAAAAGTTACCTAGAGAAACAAAGAAAACAGTAAGTATAGTCTTAATTCTATGCTCAAGTCTAAACCCAGCGTTCTTCCTATAAGATAATGCTTGTCAGTCTAACCTAGTTAACCCAGTTAACCTTTATGTTACCGAATTTATGGGATTCACATATTTTCAAATGTTTAACTTTTCTCAATTTTATGGTATAGTTTAAATATTCAGGATTATTAATTAAGCTTGGGGGGTGGGGAGAACTTAAATATGCATTATTTGTGATATTTAGGTTTTCAAAAGTTTTGAAGACATTGATCATTAGTGATTATTTTAAAAAGGTACTATATGCCTATTGTTAAACTAGGATTATACATAAAACCATAAACAGAAAAAGAAAAACAATGCTTTTGGTCTTTTTCAATAATTAAGTTTGGTTCCCAAGATTTTCTGTACCAAAATTTTTGCTTGTGTTTACATACTTTTGGATTTGAATCACATATTATTCATGTAGGCCTTAAGGGAAGTGAAAATAAAAGTGAAGTCCAGAAAATCTAATTGGAAAATAATTACTAAGAGTGCAAAGAAATAAGAAGTATTTCAGACTTTGAAAATGCTTGCTCTATATAAGTCTTCCATTTGGTTATCACTATTTATTGGGAGATTCAATATTTAATGTGGATTTACTACATCTAATAGAATTCTTAAGTCAGTTTCTTTTTTTAGATGTAGTTAACTCCAGATGTGTTCACTTGGGAGTGAACCCTCATTCACATTTCGCAGTGGAAAAAATGCAAGTCCATCAGAGAGAATTTCTTTCAAATATTTGTAAAGACTCATCCATTTTGATAATAAACTGTTCAAGCATTTTAATTCTCATGAGTTAAATTAATCTCCACTGCAAAGGGAAATTTATTTCATTTTATACATGAGGGTACCATTATGGAAAACAGGTTATACAAAGCAAGAATACATATAAAAAGGAAAATATTAATTCTGAACTATATATATAAAACATCTAAAGCAACCACATCTGTTTGGATACATCAGCAAATTTGGGAAACATGGCAATACCAAGATTTTGAACATTTTATAAAGATTCTCTCAAACTCAACCTTAAACCAAAATGTGAAAAATAATTTTGATGGGTTTCAGATTTTCTTAATATGAGAAGAAAGTACGAGATGTTCACAGTTTATTCAGAGTCTGTGATTGCCTCACCTAAGGTAATGATAAAGTAAACATATAAACATTGTATTCGTAGAGAAAAAGCTAACCTCACCGAGTCTTTCCTTGATGCACAATATGTGTGTGTGTGTGCATGTTGGCGAGATTTCTCTCTCTCTCTCTCCTTCTGTCTGTCTCCCCCTCTTCTTATAAGGCCATTAATCCCTTTATGAGGACTCCAACCTCATGACCAAATTTAGCCCTCCTTACTTCCAAAGACTCCCGTCTTTAAATACCATGACAATAGAAGTTAGGACTTTAACATATGAATTGTGAGGGGACACAAATGTTCATTCCATAACAAGGCTTCAAAAGATTGGGGAAGAAAGATATGTGGCAAACATTACCATATTCTAAATTATATACTGGGTGTCCTATAGGGAATTAAGAAATACATACTCAAACTATTTAATGATTTATTTTTAAGTCTTGTTTTCTTAACTGTTTCTACCCTTGGCCTACCTCCCTCTTGAGGGTATAAAAAGGCTGATGTAAAGAGGAAAGAAGAAAATATGTTTGGGAGGAAAAATGAGACTTTGCCTGCCATTTTCCTTCCCATCCCTATAGAGGGAAGTGGAGAGGGTGGGTAGATATGTCATCATGCTGACAGATCCCCATGGAATTTGGAAATAGTAAACAATGTGCAATTCATTTAAAAAGAGCTTGACGTTTTTGTATCTGCCTGAGATGGCAAAACAGGGAGAGAGAAAGACTTTATTGAGACTAGCTACACTTTGTGTAATTTTGGATTGTTTCTCGTGTTCCAGATGTGTGCTATGCAGAGAAGGAGCCAGCTGCTGCCATTCACAACACTGCTTCAGATGGCTGTCTGGAGGGGTCATGGAATGCCAACAGTAAGGCGGACCTCTGGATGAGTAGGCACTGAGAAAACCATAAGCAATCAGCCTAGGAAAATGCACTGCTTCCATTACGAAAATGGAATTCCAGTATTCTCTAGGCAGTCGTGTTTTAAGTGAAGAAACTGAAAATGTACTCTATTTGAGCGGTATCTTTGGTTGCATTCCAAGCACCAGGAAAGCCACAATCAAACCATATTTACTCAACTAGGTGAGTAAAAAATGTTTCTGCCCTTTAAACTTCCTTTCTAAGCTCCGCTCTCACTGTTTCCCTGGGGAAATCATACACCATTCTCAAAAAGCAAAGGAGAAAAATAAAAGAGTAAGATAGGGAAGGAGAAAAGTTCTGCCAAATGTCCCTTTCCCACTTATGTCTCCAGTCTAAAGTGGGTCCAGGTCACTGAATGAAGAATCTTTAAATAAAGTTTAGTTTTGCTATTACACAGGATAATATAATTATTGATTATGCAAATCTTTGGTGAGACTGAATGAGACTGAAGAGGCTTGTTATTGTTGTTGTGTTGAGTAACCACAAAAGTAATGAAAAATTCCTTGAATTTAATAAGAAGGAATTAGCCTCTCAGAATGGATTTGTTCAAGAAGTATGGCAAAAGAGAATGTTTTCACTTATATCCTGTGGAACCCAACTCTGTCTAAATCTTGACTCAGCATGAAGTGAAGTATACTGCAGAGTATTTCTCATACCAAGACCTAAATATTGTTAAATTATAATACACCCAAGCAATAAGTGGTGGTAATCTGGGACTCAGATATAATTTGAATGAAAAAAATTCCCTCAGTTTCTAGGTGCTATTCTTTTTCTCCTAGGAGTTTAGACCTAATTACTGAAGTTGACTAAAGGCTTTTTAGAAACCGAGCAATCTTTTAAGAAGTTCACATGTATTATTAACTATTTTAATCTTCACAAGAATGAATATATGTGAGGAAACTGAGACAAGGAAAATTAAGTGACATGACAAAAAATAGAGGTGATTATCAGAGTCAAGATTTGAGCAATGGATGTGTAGATTCACAACTTTGTCTTAAATACTATACTTTACTGTTTAATTTGTGATGTTAGCTAGTCTGGATTGGTTACACAACTAACTCCTAAGGACCAGATTTTAATGTTCCTCTACAGAAATTAACTCTTTCCACTTATTTTCTTAAATTCATCATTCAGTTTAAATTCATTTGAACAATATTGGGAAAATCTTTTAACAAACTAACCAGCAATCACAGACAGTGAATAATCTTTAAGCTGTAAATTATTCTCAAATTCTACATTTTTCAGATTCTCAGTGTCTTGTCTGATCTGACATAGGTTGAAACATTTTGTTAAATTCTCTATCCAAGTTGTTTTTGTCAATTTCCATGTAGTTTGAAAAATTGAGATTGTAGGTTATTCATTACTTAAAAGTGGAACTATTAAAGTCCTATTGAAAATTTTCCCTTTTACCTCTGCACAATGATCCTCCTTTCCACAAAATGCATTTTGTTTAAATTCTTGACTGGCTGACATTATTAACACACTTATTTGTTTGTATTTGCCTGACATGTTGTTACCATCTTTGAAGAAACTGTTTATCTATGAAATATTTCATAGACATCTGTGATAGATTGACTAACGACTCACCAAAGATGTGAGTCTTAGGACTCATACCCTAGGCCCTGATGAATATCTTAACATCACATGGAAAAAGGGAATCAAAATTGCAGATGAAATTAAATTTGCTAATCAGCTAACCCTAACATAGGGAGATTATGCTAGATTATCAAGTGGTCCCAGTATTAACACATGGGCTCTTAAGAGTGGAAGATGAAGGCAGAGAGTATATCAGAGATTCAACAGAAGAAAGAAGGAGGAGAGATCAAAGCATGAGAGGGGCTCCTCCCCCTTTTGCTGGTTTTGAAGATGAAAGGAGGGAGATAGAGACAAGAATACAGACAGAATTTGTAGGCTACAGCCTACAGGGAACTCAGTTTCACAACCAGAAGGAACTGAATTCTTTCAACCATCTGAATGAGCAGGGAAATGGGTTGTCTTTTAGAGCTTCCAGAGAGGAACACAGCCTTACCCACATCTTGATTTTAGTCTGCTGAGATCAATGTTAGACTTGACCTATAAGAACTGTAAAATAATAACCCCATGTTGTTTATTAGTCACTAAACTTGTTATGGTTTGTTATAGTAGGAATATAAGACTAGTAGTATAAAATATATTTTATAACATCAAAATATATTATATGCAATAGGATATTAAGGTGGTACCAATTTGCTTCACTTGTGAGTACAGCATGAAGATAATAGATAACAATTACCAAAGTGGGTGGGAAGATTATCTTCGTGTGTAAAACTTATAACTAAAACTGATGAAAACTAATTCAGTAATTCTTAGAATTCTCAGAAAGATGAAAAATATCAAAAGGAAGGAAGAGAGTAGGTAATTAAATTCTGGACTATTTCTTTGAAGAAACACCCGCTATGTACCTAAATTCCTGCTCCAAGGTGAATGAGCTGTACTTAAAGTAAATGACTCTTCAGAGAATTGCTAGAACACTTAGTATATGACCCCTGCATTTGGGGGATGGTAATTGGACTTATGCCAGGAAAAATATTGGGCAATGGAAGTATTGTCAAGCTGCTTCCTTAGGATAAATGGCAGAGGGAGGGAAAGAGGAAGAGAGATTGGAAGTATTCACAGTCTTTTTCAAATAGATCTAAGATAGGTGCATCCTAAAACAGATGTAGAACTTGTATTTAGGGTCATTTGTAAAGGAATCTTATACCAGAAAAGTTGGGCTAGGGCTTAGGGCTCTTAGTTGGGCTAAGAGTCTCTAAAAGTAGTTCTTATAGGGGAGCCACTGGTGAACCAAAAGCTGAAGAATATTGTAAAGGAAAATATTGCCCATGGCATGGCATTGCAGGGACAAGTCACCAATGATAGGAGTCTCACCAAAAGCAAAAAAGGAAAAAGGAAGGAAAATGTAAAAGTAAAACTAAAAATAGGAAAAAGTTCTCTAAACTCGGGAAAGTGGCACTTTATACTGTCCTGAGACCTAGAAATAATGGTTACTCCCAGGGAAGAAGTAACCAGTCCCCAGATACCTTTTCCAGGTAAAAGGTGGCTTCCATCAGCAGACCTTAGCAGAAGGAAGAGCAGGGGAAGACTAAGCTACTTGTGAAGATTGAAACGTGCAGATATTAATTTTTATGCCGAAATTGTTTTGCAACCTAAAGTTTTTTCAACGGTGTTATTATCTAAGAGCAAACAGAAAACTCCTGAAACTTGACAAGTGTTTAACCAGAAATTTACTATTAGAGAAGAGAGGAGAAGCAGGAGAAATTTACTATGAATAAATTTAAAGAATGATGAGACAAAATAACTTTTGTTATGAATAAATCAAAAATTATACTTGTTCTGCATGCTAGATACAATGCAGTGAAATAGAAAAAATAGAAACCTTTCTTGGAACAGACTCCTCCCTGATTGTCTATGTCTCTAATTCCACAAGGCTAACTAGTCCTAAAGATTTTATTTTCTGCTTTTTCTCCAATTTGGTAATAGTCATATTTCGCAATAGAGTATATTCTTACATTTTTTGTGTGTTTTTAAAAGTTCTGTGAATGCTATTTTATTATCACTTCCATAACTTCCTTTTCTTTATTCAACATTTTGTTTTTGAGGGTCACTCATCTTGGTACCGCAATTTGTGATTCACTTATTTTAATATAAAAATAAATATTTTAAATATTTAGTATTTTATTGATTACACTACAATATATTTAGCCATTCTGTTGTTAATGAAGATTTAGGGGGTTTTGTTTTTTCTGTTACAAACAAGGCTACCATGAATTTCAGATATACATTCCCTAGTGCCCATGTATTCAATTTTATCTAGAATACCTGAAGAAGGTTCATTCACTTTCTTAATTAAAATATTAACACATTTTGTTTTAATTTATTTCTTCTAAAAAAGAAGAGATTAGATTTTACTTTTTAATCGATATTAGCACTTTAAAACTTTGTAAGTCTTGGAACACATGATTTCCTTTTTCTCACATTGGTAATTTTTTTTCCTTGTCATTTATTAAATCCTAAAAAAAAAAAAAAGGCAGTTTCCTGCATTTGTTTTTTGGGTGTATGCATGTGAAATATATTTTCAGACAAATAAATTGTAGAATTTTTATATTTGAATGGCCTACCATAGTATGAGAATAATGATAAACATGATAAATACAAAATAAGACACTATTGATATTTTTATTTTACACATTAGAAAAGCAAGGATCGTCATTTGCTTATAGTCACACAGCTAATCAGGGATAAAATTAGAAAAATAAAAATTGTCTCTGTTTTTGCCACAGATAGCAAGTTAGTTATTGAACAACCAAAATATGGAAAGAATGATCAATGTTAAACATTTCTGGGTCCGTTGCATGTATATTTTCCTACTTAGACTTACAGATAATTTTTTAACAAGCTCTTGTTGTTGAAATAAATGAACATATTTAAGGTTGTAATGTTATTACATGAATATTTTGGCTTACTATCAACTGGATCTTAGAATTATACAAAACTTGGTTGCACAACTATAAGCTATCAAAACTGCAGATAAGTATGTCATAATCTTTTCTTGTAAGACTAGTCAAAAATATATACATATATTATATTTTATTTAGTTGTGTCCTAAGATACATGCTTATTTCATATATATGTGAACACATATACATGAATGTATACATATTATAAAATAAAGAAAAACTGAAACTTAAACAAGAAAGACATACAATGTTAGAATTAAAACTTTCAAGGTCTAGTCATTTTATTTTACTTATTTTATTTTATTTTATTATTTTATTTTATTTTATTTTATTTTATTTTATTTTATTTTATGTTTTAAAGTTTATTTATTTTGAGAGAAAGAGAGTGAGCATGAAAGAGGGAGGGCAGAGTGATGGAGAGATTGAATCCCAAGCAGGCTCCATGCTGACAGAGCAAAGCCCATCTCAGGGCTTGGTATCACAGATCTTGAGGTCATGACTTGAGCCAAAATCAAGAGTCAGACACTTAAATGACTGAAATACTCAGGGACCCCAAGTCATATTTTAAAGAAAATCTTTTTTATTGGGAAAAATATCCTGGTAACACGTCAGTCTGAATACATCTAAAAATTCAGTGGAAATTGCAAAGCTATATGCTGTATCTAG